TTTTTTTTTTGTTCGCCGTTGCTACCATTTCATGACTTTTGGTTTATTATTTTTTCATTTGATGCTTCTAATGTATTTTGTAAGAAAGCGCATTCATGTGTATATATGTATCTACATATGTACTATATATATAATATGTACATGTATACATATATACGATCTATGCGATATACTGCTGACATGGATTTTATCTTTTGGCTTTTGCTGCTTTATCATTTTTGTTTCACTCCACTTTTATAAATTCATTGTTTTCATCTCACTTTTAAGCAAACATTGGCAAGCGGTTGGCATTTATTACCTGCCTAATATTATAAATGGGGATGCTTCTATTTTCAAGGCTTATTCATGATTTCTTAGATTTGAATTTGTCATACCGCTTTGTGGGCGTTTATGCAGAAAGATACATACATACATACGTACGTAGGTAATGTGTTGCAAACGCTGATTGCGGTTGAAACAAATAATATCATATAATATGTATATGTCGATCCCTAACCGCTAATCGATTTTTTTATTTATTTTTTATTTAATTATTATTTTGATGCAGAAATACTCCTAGAGCATCTAGATGCATTTCTGCATCAGAAAGAAAATTTTGAAAAAAAAATTAACTTACGTCTTTTCGACGGTTAGGGGTCGATATACTATATAAAATACACCGAAATCTGTTTTATGGCAGAAATGTACTGGTATGCTGATGGGAAATAAACCCAGGATCTACTACAACCTCGATAAAGCATTTACATAGGCATATTGTACAGTTAACCTGGCCCTATTTGTAGGTGTACCTGAAAACAATTCCACACAGGATTACTTCACGGTGACTGCAAAAATGAAATCGTTTTTTTTTTGTACCGGTTTCCAATTTCCATGCTATATCTAAATTTTTTATTAACCATTATTTTGCATGAAATATTTTCCAGAACAGCACAGTACTATTTTTAACCTGTGTAGGAATTTTTTCCACCTTTAGTGCTATGTTGACTGTATTATTAAGGAGGAATAAGTATTACAGATATTAAGAAAAATCTGTTATCTGTTTATGTGCCCCATACTCTCGTCCTGGAAAAACAAAGTGTTTGTTCAGCCCTGTCTGGCTATCAAATTATCAGGTTGCCTGGTTATATGGTTATATCCTTTTACAATAATAAAGTACCTGCACTAGAGAATACTAATTTTTAAACAGATAACATGATAACAGGCAAATGTGAACATCCACAATGTGCATAGGTTTTGATGGCTTTCTGATTATCTAGTTATATTTTATACTCAGTTTCCAACAACAACAAAAAAGTACTACATTGGCACAGCCTTTTCAACGAGGGAAGAGATTCAATTTCAGAAGTCGACGTATTGTAGAAACGTTCTCAGGTATTTTTGGAAAGGAAAGACCTCAAAACTGGTTGTAATATCATTTACTATTGTCTTGAACCTCTTCTCAAGTAAGTCCAAGCCCGGTCTAAGATGAGTGTCGAGAATGCTTCAAAACCCGTCGAGTATTTTCGCAGTTTTTAAAATTTGTGCAAACTTAGAAGTGAGAGATAACTTTGTAAATCGGATTGTTACTGAAAGTAAATTTTGACACATTACTATGAACCTGAAGAAGCAAAAGTAGAATGAAACAAGTAAGGATATACATATATAGGGGAGTTATATAAAAAAAAAAATCATATGTGAACAATGAGTGAAATGGAAGATATGCCTTATAAAGCTCCGATCTAAATGATTTTCACTGCTGTGTATGATCGGTACGTAAAACGGTAACACAATTAAATGGGTTTAGCTGCCTACTTAAAGGAGTTATATCGCAAACCCTTGAGACATACATACATAGCTTGACGATTTTCTCAGTGGACTTTGTATGATCATTTAGAAAATAGCTCACGAAATGTCTCGGAGATGTCCACTTGAAGGACTTTTAAAGTAAACGCCCATATCTAAACAATCAGTTGTGTGGAGGCTATAGGTGGCAGGGACCCGATCTTTGTCATTTTTATTGTAAACTTTCTGTTGATAAAGATCAAAAATAGTGCGAAATTTCATGTTTCTAGCTGCTTAAATGGAGGAGTTATAACAAAATATCTTATATCTGAACAATCAGTTGTATGGGAGCTATATGTTATAGTGGTCCGACAAATGATTAACATATTATAAAAAATCACCCGCTTACCAAATTTTAGTCTGATATATCGAAAACTGAGGGACTACATTGTTATCAAACAGACGGACGGACATGGCTAAATCGACTCAGTTCGACGTTCTGATCTGAACCAAAATTGGCTTATATTCACAGCATATAATGGTTATGTTTGAAAACATATTCTTGGATAAAATTTGTGAGTTAAGGCAGAGTTGATTGTTAAAATTATAATATTCCGTGTTAGGGGGGATTTCGCGTAGGGTATTTACAATGTGAGGATTATATTTAGGAGAATTCACATTTCGTGCTGGGGATTTGATTTTCTAGCTTTTGTTTTATAACCCTTTTACAAAATAGTGAAAGTTAAGTAGGTTCAAAAAATAAGAGGTAATGAAAAAATTCTTAGCGAGTACGAATATATAGTATGTATATTACTGAAACGGATTTGGTATCTACGTAAGTGAGGGAGGAAGTGATTTACCGTGATTGAGAAATATAAAAAGAGAAGTGGATGGTGTTTTTAATATTATTATTATAAAATTTTATTATTAAAAATATCAGCTAGAAAGCATCTTATCTCACAGATTTGCTCAACATCTGAGTCCAAAGTTTTGCTGATTTTTGGGCGAAATCGATCCCAAATTCGGGTTTTCTACAATCATTAATTTTATGAAGGAATACATTCTCATCAAGCTTATGATTCGACCATAAAAATAGTCCCAAGGGGTTCGTTGAAAATGCCATCAATAATTTGACTCCACAAGAAAATAAAGTTTCCTGCAAGTTAAGGAAGTTAAGGTTTTTGCAGTCGGCTTTGATCTGAGCAGGTCACGGCTAAAGGGTCGTTTACATAACACTTTTGCTTCGCTTTGCTTCATAATTCCGCTTTGACAGATAAGTTCAATACATGATTTTATACGAGTCTCAACTTTTGTGCGCTTTGGCAGTCAGTCTCTTCTTGTGCGCTTGCATTTGCATTTAGTGACAAAAATAGGGTAAATAGGAATTATTATTGCTATAATTAATGCATATTATTATATTGTTATCCATTTTGCAGACATAAAATATGGAGGAAAAGGAGAACGCAAAACTCTCAAAGCGTTTTTTGTAGCATACCTTCTGCGTTTCACGCTTTGTTGTCAAAGTTCGAACTGTCAAGCAAAGTGAGGAAAGTCTTATGTAAACGGCCCTTAAGTGGTGTTGTTGTATCGTTCCAAATGACCTGAACGGCCATATTGAACCCGTAAAGAAGAAAATTTGGTCCCGTCTTCTTCAAACAGAAAAACAACCGCATTGGAAATAACTTTTTCCGCTCATTTTGAATCCGCTAATAAAATTTATCTAAGTCTTCTCGTTTCTTTGGCTCTTTTTTACCTGACTTCAAAAAAAACAGTATGGTTAAAATTGTGTGTTGGTGTTGGTTGATTTTTCCGACAGGGTGCAAACCAAACTTGACAAGGGATGACGGAAATTCGTTCCAAAATAAATCATGGTTAAAATTCATATTTGTTGGAGATCGTTAGTGTCGCCCAGTGTTTGTTTTCTCTGTAAACAGTGAATTCCCAAGAAAAACTTTATTTTCAAATAAAAAAGTTGAAACGTTCACAACGAAGGAGTTTTTGGAAAATTAAGGATTTAATTGTATTAATCATAAATAAACAAACATAATTTTTTCCAAATGAAATAACATTACCAGTTTATATAATACCCAATTTAATAACGAAAGGTCTTTAAGAACTCATATATTAGATATAAACATAGGGGTCAGAATACGCTTATTACTTAGTGAAATTCAATGAAATAAAAATTAGTTATACAGCATGAAAATGTTGGTTGTGGGGGTTTTTAAAACTTGATATTTTTCAAAATAATTTAAAATTTTTAAATTTTCACCAGAAAACTCTTCCAAAAATTTCTCAAAAATTTCTTGATTTGGTCCATCCATAAACTGAATGTCGATTATTAAAATTCAACTTTCAGCAGTAAAAAGTCGATTTTGGGGGAAAGTCGAAGCCGACTTTGCCATCCATTATGACGATTCTCAAGTTTACAGAAACTAGGAAACTCCTACAAAGTACTAATTTTGTCTTAGAACTATAGCACAACGCAACGATTATTTTTCTTATTTTCCGTTTGTAACAGTAATCAGTAAAAATCGCCATAAGTTAATCATAACTGCCAAATCCTTGAATACTCCTATATAAAAAGGAAAATAGAATACAACTTATCTCAACTTCTTTCTTTTGGAATTTTAATGAGCCTGATTTTTGGTTTTGACCCGGACAGTCCGGTTTTTTAGAGCTTCGTCGATGTCCGTTTTGACGACACACCCAGACATCAAAATATCCGGCTTCGAGGGTCCAGGTAATAAAATGATTAATATTCATATTTATTAAAATTGTTAAGTATAGAGAAAATTTCATAAAATAGCCTTTCAAAACTATTTGTCTCAGTTTCGTGTTAAAGCTATGCTGTAAGTTTTCATAAAATTAGTACCTTTGATTTTTTGATCACCGAACAATCAGCTGTTTGTCGTAATGGCCATTTCCATTATGCTATGTTATGTTTACATTGTATGTGGCTAACTACCAAAGTGAGTGACTTGCCGAAAATGATAACGAAGCGTTTTTGTACTTTTAAATAACAGTGAATTGCTTTATACATATTCTTCTAAATACAGCGAAGCATAGTTTGAAAATATACCTTACTTCAACTGTACGGTTTTGGAAAATGTAAAAGTTGGCAACCGTGCTCCTAACACGTAAATTGTATTGGTTTATTATTTAACAGTGCGCAAATATTATTAATATTAGCTTTTATCTTCCGAAATTAGCCTAGAACTAGATTATTTATTACTCACCTTTTCGTATTTCAGTTTCTAACCAGATTTTGAAGCAACTTTGGTAAACACAACACAAATAGTTTTATCAACTTTCGTTAATAATTCTGTGGGTATGGTTGTGATTTAAATAATTCTCAAATTCTTTCACACTTTACACTTTGAGAAACTAGAATTTAACAAGTTTCGTTTCGAATATCAAATTTAGCACTGTCACCAACGTTCACATCCCAAATCGTCAAATTCCAAATCCACAAATTAATTCAACAGAAGCACTGAATTCTAACAACCAGTTTTGTTTCGATATCGGAAATTTTAATTAAATTCTCACACATAAGTTAAGACCGGAAAGCACAACTTTCTTGTTGGCAGCTCGATATTCGTCTGCCCAGACAAATTTTAAATCGACTATGGACCAGCGAAGACTATTGCCACATTTGTTTATTGCAATTTTAGTATTTGTCTGGTGCTCGCACACCGTTAACACGTCCAAACTAACCGAATATTTAATCGCAACTGAGCGAAACACAGCAGTCGCGAAACCTAAAAAGTGTGTGGAGCTCTGTGGGGCTGTGTGTGGAGCAGCGGCGCACTTTGTGAGCAGATGTGTTGGCGGCAAAATACTGCTTGCTATGCTTTTGTATTTGCCCTTAACATTGCATTTGCTGTATTGGCTTTGCCAATTGAACGTTGTTGGTGGCGAACTTGTTCAAGTGATGCCGGGCGTCATGGCAGAGATTGACGCTGGGCTCACTAAACAATTCAACAGGGAAGCCAGCACGTGGGGAATTCCCCCGATTTGCGGGCAATTTCTGTTTGCGTGGGGAATCGGGGAATGGGCCGTTTTTTTGTTGGGAATTTCAGTTTATGTGATGGATCGGTGGATGAACTGTTATTTTTTTTGTGAGGAATTAGGTGTTAAAAAATGTTCTCTTGTTTGCTACACTATTTCATAATAAATTAAAAAAGTTGTACAAGAAACACAACTGTAACTAAAAGTACTGATTATGCAACCCTGAGTTATTAAATATTCAAGTCTGGCAACGAATTGGGAACAAAGGAACTACAATTAGCAAATTTTCATGTAAAATTTCTATTTTTGCCGCCATCGGCTGTGATTTTTTGTTTTTCGTTTCTTTCAAAGGTAAATATTAAATAATAGCAAATTGTAATCATATACATATACATACATAATTTTACATTCATTAGATGCCAAAAACTACAACTTGTTCAATTCTAATATATAAAAGTTTCAAATGGCTAAAAAATAACCATTGATTTTTTAGAATTTTCTTTGTCTCATTTGCTTCAATATAACGAATAAACAAAATTTAGTTTTATATCGAAGAAAACCGCAACACCTTCGGAAAAAAGGTCGAAATTTTTACCAAAGTTTGTCGCTTTTTTTTAAATATTCCACAAAAATTGAAACTTGAATTTTTATAAAAAAATAACTCAAAATATATAACAAAAAAAAATACTTGTGAAAATTTGTCAAAATTTGGTGCGACTAAAATTTTTTGACCACATATATTTACATTTTTTATTCTTTATATGTCAACTAACTTTATAAAAGTTTGGTTTGGTGTATGAATGCATAGATGAATCACATTTAAAAATAAAATAAACAGAAAGACCAGCGGTATATCAAAATACAAATGTATGTACATACATTTTTTTTTTTTTAAATAAGGAGAGATATCTATGGGTGGGGAATTTTACAAAATTTCGGGCAAAATCAGGGAATTTTACTGTCGAAATCGGCGAATTCTCAAAAATTAGTTGGCTACCCTACAGCTCAACGAAACGTACTTACACAAAGCTTTGCGACCGGCATATTGTTGGCGCTCTTCGCTAGATTTTACGCTCGCTAGGAAAAATGCCGGTAAACAGCTACGTGCGAATTGTGGTGTGCTCTAATAACAGAAATACACCTATAATTACACTGGTGGGGGCATATGCCGGTGTGCATACATGTATGAATAGGAATGTGTGTTGCACGTAAATATGTATGTATCTTTTTGTTAGGCCTCCCCACATTGTTGCTTGGTTGATGTTGCAGAATTTCTTTCCGCAACATATTTAGAATCGACAAGTAATAACCGCCTAAGTCGACTTAAGGGAGAATTGGCGTCAAAAGGCCAAAATTTATTTAGATTTTTTAAACAGGTGAAACCCTATTTAAAAACCGATGTCGGTTCTCATTTCATCAAATTTCAAATCTTCCTGTACCGCTAAAAGGTTCTAACTTAAAAATTAAAACCCGTGCACATCTACGTAGAATCCCAGGTCCTTAATTTCACTTCTCTTTTTCAAAATTTGAAATAACGGTGCAGATGTGATGACCTTAAAAAAAATAGATGGCAACCCTAATTAAGAGTATTATCAGTTTTCTTAAAACTCTTTCGTTTGACACTAATATTTCGATATTTCATTTTTGTAGCTTGCGTATAAGAAAAACAAATCCGACTTGCTCAGAATGAAAAGAGAAATCGATTAAGCCATGTCTGTCCGTCCGTCCGTCTGTCCGTCTGTCTGTCCGTGTACACGATAACTCGAGAAAAAATTGAGATATGTCAATGAAATTTGGTAAGTAGGTTGCCCTTTATCCAAGGTAGGTTGGGATTAAAAATCTCAAAATCGGACAATAACCACGCGCACCTCCCATATCACGGTATTTTCGAGATATGCAAAAACCACGATATTTCCGTAAATACTGGATCCAAAATTATTGAAAGTTGGTACGCGCAATAGAATTGTGGCATAAAATAAGACGGTTATGACATTTTTCGAAAATGGGCGTGGCACCGCCTACTTACGATGAAATGCTGTATCTCTGTAGTCCCTTCACCAATCCCCACCAAACTCGGGACAAACATTTCTTAGAGCCTCACTAACAAACCCTGTGAAAACCACGCGTACCTCCCATATAACGGTAGTTTACAGAAATACGAAAACTGCTTAAAATTAGGAACTATTTAAACGGCGCCGCCCACTTACCCCTGCATATGTGTATCTCGGTAACCGGTTAATCAATTTCTACCAAACTAGGTACATTTATCAACCTGGCCTAAAAAAAGCGATATCTTGAAAATTTTTTTAAATCGGACTAAAATTAACGCCACCTACCATATAACGGTAAATTTCGGAAATTCGAAAATTCCGATATTTCGATAACTAAACACGCCAACCTACAACAGTCTCTCAACAAGACACAATGTTTTTTTCTTAATGAGCGTGGCACCACCCACTTATGACTACATACATATGTAAGTGTATATTGATAGCCCCTTTATCGATTTCCACCAAACTTGCTCTAATTATTTCAATATCTCATAGCATATTATCGAAACTTTTTGCCATCGGGAAAAATACTCTTGCTTATCATGCAGTTTAATGAAAATTGAAAAAACGATATTTAATGCGTGCGCCGGGTATATAAAGTGCGGTTTCGCCCGAACTTACACTTCTTTACTTGTTTCTTTTTTTTGTAACCACATAGTTCATTCAACAGAAAAAAACAGCAAAATCAATCTTATCAATTTCATATAGAACTCAGGAAAATTCAAGAAATACCAAACCATTTTCATCAAAATCTCAATTTGATTTCTTAGAAAAAGTCTGAGTTAAACCTGCATACTCAAAGTTTTTTTATGAAATCCAACTACAACGTTTACAAGTTTGATGCATTTTTTGGTATTGCTTAAGTTTTCCCTAGTTCCATATGTAAAAAAAATTGAATGAACTATATTAAATAAATGAAATCGTCAAAACGTCAGGGTATTCATATTTTTTACGCTGACTGTATGTACATATGTATCAAAGCGGAATCGTACATAAAAAAATGTGGTATACTGTCCTTTGCAAGAATGATAAGATACAAGATTGCGCCAATCGAGCTGAGAGCAACTGGGTGTGACGTCACATTATTATGAGAATGAGAGTGTAAAAAAAAAATTATTTTGAGGAAGAAGCGAACAAGTGGTGCGAAATATTGATGTAAAACTAGGTAGAATTGTACCTACTCTTCAGCTTCTTAAATTTGAACGAACATTCGGTACAAGCTCATTATTTTAGGTACGTTTGGAACATAGTAAAATATTATTTCATGTAAGTCCAAAATTTGTTAAGGTACTGAAGAAAGATGTAGTCCACCAACTATCAAAATTATATGCACATAAAAATAGGTGTTTACTCTTGAGGTACGCGTATTCATTTTTGGGTACAACTTTCTGGCAAATAGGTATAATATGAATATCTAATATTCATCACTTTTGCGAAAAAATAATAATGTGACGTCAGCGAAAGGGTGGATGGTGTCAAATCCAGAAAGAGAGGATTAGCGGTGCGCGGGAAGCGCCACCTTTGTTTCGCTGCATCGTTATCATTCGACTGATTGGGATCAGTGTTGCCATTTTACGCGTTTGGGATATCAAACAGCCGGATAAATTTAGTTTTAGCCGGCAGCCGATTTGTTAGCCGATTTTGCTATTGCCTTGTTTTCATAAAATTCAAATGTATCTGTTTCCATTTTTGACCAAAAATCTGTTAGAAATGGCGACTAGCCTCATCGCGGAGAACATTTTCATGTCAGGCAGGGTTATATAAAATTAGGCCGATTTCGACTACTTTTATTTTAAACGAATATATATTTTCTAAAAAAGGCCGTAGCAGGGGTTTTCTTCATAAAATGTTTGTTAGATATGAATGTCTTAAATTTAAGTGCGAAGTTTTATTCGTGAACTTATAAAATAACAAATTGTTTCTCTTAGGGGATTCCCTTTAAATCGTAAATACTTATGGCCTTATTCATAAAAAATAAAGTAGCTTTAAAAAACGTTTATAAACTGAAAAATGTTTGAAAACGTCACTTTATAAAGCTCTTTAAACCTACTTTATTTTTTATGAATAAGGCCATTAAACTGTGTAAGACTCGTAAGGAACGCCCCCTTTTTTACGAAAATGTGTAAATAGGTGCGTAAACTGTAATGAAAATAAATGAAAAAAATAATAAGGGAATAGAATCAATAATTTCATCCGCCAACTGTACTGACTTAGCTTTTCTGATAATTTTAGGCCATTTTGATTGTATTATAGCCAAGAGTTATAGAGACAAGACGGCGGGATGTTACGGAAAGTACTACGAAACAAAAATTGCTTCCCAAAATCCTGGTTGACCTGTCAAACAGGCACTTTACGCACCTATTTACAGCTTTTCACATAGGGGACGTAACCACAAATGTCTCGTTATCTTACGAGTTTTACACAGTTTAAGACTTTACGAGTTTAAGGGAATCCACTAATTGTCTTCCCAGATAGCGCATATTCAATTCTGCCTTAATTACAACTAATCATTGTTGCCCACGCTGAAAGGTTTAAATTAAGGGAAAAATTTATATTTGGAAGCAACTATGTACACATAAAATATATTTTTTTTAAACAAACTTTGAGAACTTATTTAACCCTAGAACACTATTCATATTTTTAATACGTAAACACTAATTATTAGTCGAATCGACTAACATTTATT